AACGTGTATTCTGTGTAAATACTTTCTTCTAGAAAAAAGTTTTGGCTGTTGTTTCTCAACGAATGAATCTCAGCGGCGCGCGGCGCAGCTTTGCGGAGGATTTCGCGTCCGCTGGAACAACGAGAGAAAACGCATCGCAGGTTATGCTTCCCATCTCGAGGTCCTACCTCCTGTCGCTGTCACGATGGGAATTCCCATTCTTCGTGTTCGGCGGTCCGGAATTTTCCGACAGGCAGGCTTCGACTTTGTTCGAAACTTCTTCCTCGCGTCATCCCTTGCCGTGCAAAAGTGTAATTTCAGTTTGATACTAGCGCAATAGCCATATGGATGGTGCGCGCTCTCTCGCCGACGCGGCTGGCGACTAAGAACAAGCAAGAAGGAGAAAGTGCATCGTTGCAGAGAAAGGAATAAGGTGGTGCAACCCGGGGTCCTTTACTTCCTTGAGCAACGCGGCTCCTCTTGCCCCCGATCGAGACAAAGCCGTAGGTATTACCTTATTTCCCCAGTGCCTTGCTCCCTTCTATTGTACAAATCCTTCTTAGGAGGGTGTTCACGCTCGCACACATTCGCTGGCTACAATCTGCCAAGGTATTTCCAGTCGTTTCCTTCTCGTCGACTGCTACTCCCTGTTTATGCCGAAACAATACACGCGCTCGTTATTTTAATGGATCCTTCTTCCTCAGCGAACACTATCCTCTCTCAATAGGGTAGATTATTTCCATTCGACGCTGTTTACCATTCGTTTAAGGTAAACGTTCAAAGCTGATACTTGCGAGAAAGGAATTAAATCGCACGTTAAGATGTCGGCAAGCGGTGATTATTTGCCGAACAACGGAGCACCGGATGTAAAATGGATTTCGTATTCAGCATTAAAAACAACGGTTCGTCTATTGTCAATTGGAATACCAAATTGTAGCGAATCCTAGCGAATTTTCAATGGGCCAGAGGGCTCATGCGTTCTAACTGGATCGATCGGTGGGGATAGGAGAGACAGAGAGAACAGTGGATGTAGAGAGACCCTGTGGCAAAAAAAAGTGGGATAACATACGCCGGTGCATGCAGACGAAGAGACGGACGAGCGAACGAGCGAACGAGCGAATGAACGAACGAACGAACGAACGAACGAACGAACGAACGAACGAACGGAATGAACGGACAGACAGCCCTCGTGAACCTCGTGTCGAGAGAGGAGAAAGAGAGAGAGACAGAGAAAGAGAGAGATTGCGGGAAGGCTGGTAGCGGGGTTGGTTGCCATTGTAATGGCGTGTGCCATGGTCCCCATGTGCCAACCACCCCAAAAGGCTGAGCCCTTTGCTACACTGCTGTTAAATACGCTGAAACGAGGAAACCGCTCGCGAGAGTTAAACTCGTAGTTATCGCTCGCATCGACATACATATATGTACGTACGAATCGATGGACGCGTCCTCTTTAAACCCACTCTATTGCACGAACGCTTGCAATTGAAAGGAAATGATTTCATTTGGTTCTATTCTGCGGCCACCGCTGATATCAAGATTTATATTTTAATACATTTAATTGAACGACAAAATGATATACGTTTGTCGCTTAAATTATGCCGACGGCCGCGGCACGATTCCACTGTTCGTTGCATCTCGATACCCGTTTGATTGTGAATTGTAGCATTGAATTGTATTGTGTTTCGAATGCCGCCGCCCCTTCATGCGACCAGTTGCGACCAGTTCATGCAAATTCAATCGCACACGCGTGTATAACCACCCCGCGTGTCTATGTACGAACGCCCGTTAAGATCGTTAATTATCTTCTTTCCTCGATTCGGAAAAGCTATGGCTTTATGCGCTCATTAATAAGTTATGACGTCGCTGGCGACGAGATACGGGGATTGAGATAGAGGAGACTCGAAAAAGGAACGAGGGACGAAGTGTCCTCGAATACCGATGGCGGAAAGTTACCAAAAGTATCGTAACTACCCGGTAATTAAGTAAGTAAGGATGCCGAAGTGGCAGCCAATGGAGCGGCCAGTGAAATAAAGGGAATGCAAAGCGAGTTTCCGTGAACAGAGTGCCAAGGTGGTAGTTTTCTGTTTACGCTGAATTGTAACTCAATCTGCAGGGCAAAACAAATTGGTTGAGTGCCGGCAACCGGAAGGAAGTCCGCCGCGCCGTGGCGACTGTCGAAGAATAGAATGATGGACCGAGAGGGGTGGAGGGGTGGCCAGTGGACGACCATGATCCAGTCGGTCGATGTTAGTCGCGGCAGAGACAAAGAAGGTTAAAGAGGTGGATGTATTAGCATTCACAACAACCTTCTGCCAGCTTGCCCGGAGGTACGAAGGAGAGAGAGAGAGAGAGAGAGAGAGAGAGAGAAAAGGAGCGAGCACGATAAGAAGATAATATCGCGAAGAAAGATGGACGTCGCGGCGGTGACAAAGACAGGGGAAAGATAGAAGAAAAGTTTCGTTCGAAACCGTGACAAGGGACGGGCAGCAAGTGCGGAGAGGGGAGGGACGCGGAACCAAAGCTGCGCAGCTTGAGGAATCAAAATATAATTACACGAAGACAGGCCATAACACAGAGACAGAATCACGGAGAAATAGACGGGTCTCATTAAAATTGGAGAGCTGTTTCGAAACTACAAGACTGCCGTGTCGGTTGCAGCCTTGTCGCCTGTGTTGAGCACTACCTTTCCCTAACTTGAGCTCTTGCCACGTTCTCCTCACTCTCTCTCTCTCTGCGTATCCTGCGTTCAAACTTACGCTCGTTCCTTCCCTTTCTCCCTCTTTTTCTCTCTTCCTTTATTCCTTTCTCTCTCTCTCTCTCTCTCT